AGCTGCCCGCCCAGCGCCGGGGCCTGGCGAGTCCCCCCCGCCTCGGGGGGCGGCCAGCCCGCAGTACAAACGATGCAGAAATAAAAGCGGTGTTTTAGGCGCTGCTTGCTCTGTGCGAGCGTGGGAAAGGCAGCAAAAGCGCGGTTTTTCCTTTGGAAGGAAGCCCAGGGTTGTCCCCGGTTCGCGCTTTGGCCATTTGGACGTGGCATCGCTAAAAAAGAAACCTGTGGTTTTATTTTTGTTTTTTTAATGAACGCCGGTTGTGAGGTAGCAGTGTTCCTGCATCCTGCCTCTCTGGTAGGGCCCTACGCCGCTGTCATGAAGGAGGCGTTAGTACCGCGGTGTAGCCCCGTGCGGGAGTTTGCTGCAGACGTCAGCAGCTTGTTGAACCGGTTGTGAAACAGGGTGGAAAACTGGGCTTTCTGCGTTAGACTTGCGTATACCTACGCGTATTTTTTCTTACATCAGACCAGAAGCGAGGTATCTGATAACAAAGAATTGATGTTCACTTTGGCCTCTTGTGGTTTTGCATGGATGTTTTGAATTCAGGGAATTGTGGAGCTGCTGTTACTGTGTTACATGTTTACTAAAATTTTAGACCAGTTAAGTAGAATAAAAATGTTTTTGTAGGGAAAATTTGGTTATATATTGTTTTCTAGAGCAGGAAAAAACCAGATACTTTCACGCTGCAGAACGCCTTGTTTTGTTTTGTTTGTGGTTGTTACCATTCTGTGAATGAAGATATTAGAGAAATTGCTGTGGGCTAAACAGATTTTGGGGCTTTTCCTGTTTTCTCGGGCTTCTCAAGGGGGATGATGGTTAGTCTTAAGCATATGAACGGATAAACACAATGCCAAAAAGTTGTCTGTTAGTGGCAGCGCTGAGGTAATGCTGACATTTTTTCCAAAATCTCCCAACCACAAGCAGGAGAAATCAAAACTTTTGAGGAAATGGGAAAAGCAGGAAGACATATTAATGGAAGGAAATGAAAACAGATCCTCTTGTTTGAGGAACTGGACACTGACAGTTGCAGCGATATATGTGTTTTGTTTTTAAGAGATCACCTTAAATTCGAGGAGAACATTGGGGACTCCTGTATTTCAAAACAGATCACTTGCAGAATGTATATCTATTTGTATTTCCACACACGACATTTTATGATTTGGAGTTAATTGTTGTTGTGCTGATACAGTGACTTAATTTGACATTTTTAATTATAAGTGACTGTTTCCAATACAATCATTTGTTAAATGTGATAGTGATGCATTTTTAAATACATTTAAATACATTAACTTAAATAACTCATTATTTATGTCAGCATAACTGCAGACATTGAAACTTCATCTATCATAGAATATGAATTTTATTTTCCTTCTACAATATATGCAGCAACAGATTTTTGTGTGTATTTTATGATTGTTGTAAATATGTAATACTCTTTCTGGGATTCAGCATAATCATTGCACTTAAAATACTGCATGTATCTTTTAAGAATTGAGATAAAGTCTTCAGTAGAAGGAATGTTCATAATTAACTGCTCATGTGGGTTGCCAAAGTTAAATTCTATATTTTCCTAACTTTAGGTAAGTTGTGTTTTTTTTTTTTTTTAATATAAATAAAAAGGAGACTAATAAATAAAAGGGAGTAACATCTGCTAATATGTAAATGCCTTGTGAGTTAAATGGAGAAATCAGTACGGAGAACGTAAACAAATTCTTTCAAAATGTAGTGCTTTTTGCATAACCTATTTAGTGTAGCATCCTGAAGTTTGTGCACATTTCTCACCTCATCAATTGCATGCAATCGTACTTGCAGTTTGTTACCATCTTTTTTTCCCCAATAGTGTTTTAAGAGCAGAGGGGCTGGAGAGCAGCTGCTCATCTACTGGTGAATTTCCATGTAAGGATCTGGCCATAGATTAACTCTGCTATAAACAGCGTTAGGTTTCCTATGCAGGTTGTACACATCAAGAAAGCAGAAGTGTTCATAATGATTCAACAAAGGGGAAAGGAAATTATTGCTAGGAGGTAAAAGAAGAATTTAGTAATTTTTAAAGCAATGTATAGGTTACATGCATGGAAAAAATGGTGCTTTTATAATAAAGAAACTAGACTGGACCAGAGGAGATGCATGGTTCTGGATGTACATTTCTTGTTACCCTGGACAAATAGCTTACAGTACATCTGTGCAGCATGATGTAGAGGTTTGAATGAGCTAGTGTGAGTAGCAGAAACAGGATCTGGTGTTTTGCCTGGGCTAAAGAGCCTGAGGTTTTAAGGCTTGACTAATATAGCTATACTTTAAACCTTATGCAGAGATTAAGATGCAGCCTTAACCAGCGAGCTATAGAATATGACTCTTTTGCAGTCCCTCGTGAGTAGTCCCGCTTATCGTTCAAAGATGCAAGGTAATACCTAGACTGTATAAGGAAGTCGCAGCATGTCGTCTTTTAACCCAGTTTCCCATCTGCAAAATGGAGAAAAGTCACTGTCTTGCATCATAGGTGTGTCAGAAAAATAAATGTTTTTGTATTTCTGAAGCGCTCTGATACTGCCTTCATGGAAATGGTATTGCTGTTGAGAAGACTAGTAGTTGTATTCGGTTCTAATTGCAAATTTGCCTACATGTTCAAAACTTTGATTGTTCTAAAGTATGTTTTGTGGGTGTGTTTGTGACTGTGTTTGGAACAACTTTCTATTTTGCCTCAGGTTTATTTCAGAGTTTGATGAATGCAGTGGAATTAGTTTGCCAGTATGCTGTCTTTATAATGTTGAATTACTGTGGTCTTGATTTTAGAAAAGCTTTTCCTCTTACTGGCTATTTCTAAATTTCTCTTCTACATGTGAATTTTTCTAGGATGATGCACGTCCTTTATGTTTTACCTGTAAGCATGCCCTATGAATTTCACCAGGCCATGGAGCCAGAGCGTTTTAGGACAATACTTACTTTTATTGACTGTAGAGCTTCTGCATTCTTGAGTTTTAACTCTTTCAGCAG